AATTGCTCTCAGCTCAGGAGATGTGGTAGGTTATTGTGTAAAACTCACAAAGTTGCATTCTATGAGGACCCAGGATTGGGAGCGGAGCTCAAACCTATAAATGCAAACATGTACTGTATCTACAGGCCTTTTCTGTTAAATTAAATTTGCCACCATCAATAAAATCAATTTCAACGCACTTGTATTAATTGAAGTTCGTTTTTGTACCATTATTAACTGTAGAGGAGACACACATGGGTGGCATCTTCTAAAAGATAATCATCTTTAAATTTTGATATAGTGCCTTCTATGACAATGGGAACTCTCTCCTCGCCGGCCTTCCCGGCACCTCCCTCCACAAGCTGCAGGTCATTCAGAACTCTGCAGCTCGTGTACTGACCTGCACCAGGCTTTGGGACCACATCACTCCCACCCTCGCTCGCCTCCACTGGCTCCCCATCCCCCAGAGAATCGATTTCAAGATCCTCATCCTCACCTACAAGGCCATTCACGGCCTTGCTCCCTCCTACCTCTCCGACCTACTATCCCCCTACCTACCTGCCCGTTCCCTCCATTCCTCTGGCTCTGGTCTGATCCACATCCCCCGCCCTAACTGCCCTACCATCGGTGGCCGGGCCTTCAGCCTCTCAGCCCTAGGCTCTGGAACTCTATCCCCAGTGCCTTCGCCTTGCCTCCTCCCTTTCCTCCTTCAAGGCCGGTCTCAAGACCTTTCTCTTTGACCGTGCCTTCAGCTCCCCTCTCGACTCTCTACCCCCTCCTCGCTCCCTCCCTTCACCCTGACCATTTCCCCCCTGCTCGGGTCCTGACCCAACTGTACAGTGCCTTGGGACGTCCTCCCGACGTGAAAGGCACTCTATAGATGGAATCTTGTTGTTGTTGTTGTTGTTCAAGTTAGGGGGATGTCTCAAAAGTGCTTCGCAGGTTACATTGTGAAGTGTAATGACTATATTTTCTAGGCTTCTGGAGCGGAAGTTGAATAACACTGCATACTAATCATCTGCTGATAGAGCAACAACTTCTGACAGTCCACAATGGGGATCTGAGATTCCTTGCCATCACAGAGTACTTATTAACACACCATCAACAACAGCTTGCATTTATCTCGTGTCTTTCACCAGGTTAATGTCTTGGGAGCTCTTAAGAGTGATGCTGAGCCAGGTAGAGGAGAGGTGACTGCAGGCACAGTTGAAGAGGAAAGTTTTCAGGTGTGATCTGAAGATTGACAAGAATGGGACAAGGTGGAGGGATTGAAGCAGAGTCTCAGTGTATAGTGACACCTCACACACCAATCATATGTCGTTTGATGTCTAGATTAGAACCATAGAGCTGTACAGCACAAATCATCTCTGTGCTGGCTCTTAAGAGCAAGTTTTCAGTCCTATTTACCTGCCCTTACCCCATATCCCTGTCACTGACAAATGGATTTTGCTAACTTTTTTTGCAAGAAAAAAACATATAAAAATGAAACAAATAAATATTTTTCAGCATTGCTCAGACACTGACTTGGAACAAACACTTCAAAGCTGCACTATCCCAACATGCATTTAACTATACACCCATAATCTCAAAATCTGATTAATACACTGCTAAAGAGTACATCTTATGGCCGGAAAATGCTTAGACCAACCACCCATCTGTATTTAAAAGGCCCTGGCAGGGACGAGATGAAAGCATTCAAGTTTCTTTCATTCAAAGGAATTTTACATTTACTTCATAAATATATGGCTAGAAACCATTCCAGTAAGACACCCACCCACCACACACGAGTTCTCTTGGACACTTGCTATCAGGCTCGTCAAGGGGGCTTCAGCGGCTTATAAAAGTATAGAGAATCAACGCATGGTTCAGTCACACTTCGGTAAGTGGTTATTCACTGGTAGTGATTGAGAGTGGCAGTAGCGGGGCCGAGATGAGCACAAAGCTAAAAGAATGGTGAGGAGGTGAGAAGAGTTTATTTTGGTAGGTGGGACTGACTTGGGGTAGGTTTAGCGTGTTCCAGGAAGCTGATGACAGCCCCATTTATAGAAACCGCTGGTCTACCTCCCAATTTTATTTCTGATAGTGCTGCACTATCTGGATCCCAGGATTAAAGATGCGAGGAGAATGCCAACACAGAGGCCTCATTTGTAACTCTTCTCTTCAGAGCAGTGGTGGCCAATGTTTTTGGTTTGCCAACAAAATTATTTTAGAAATAGCATAAATTTATGCCGTAAATCAAGAAATATTCAATGAAGAAACATTTATTTTGTTGGCCAACCAAAGATGTTGGCCACCACTGCTTTACAGTGATGGTGCCCAGTGCCTGATGGTTTGAAGATTGGTTTCATAGTTATAGTAATGTTAACGTGTCCAGAGATAATATGTCCCCTGAGAATCTATCTGTTTCTGGTGCTGTGTGTTGGTGGGAGAGGAATTTCCTTAAGAAACGCTCTGTAGGTTGCAATACTTGTTTTCACATCATCAGAATGTTCCACCCATTCTGTTTTATGAAACAATGGTTAGTTGTAAGGCCACCACGTATTTGAAATTTGAGACCATAGGGATCTTGGGGAACAGAACTGGCTTGCATAATAAATGCTCATTTCACCCTCAAATACACTGTCTTCAGAAACTGAAGAGCCTATCCATTTCCTTCATTTGACTCACGTTTTCATAAGGTACAGTCAGGTTTAATATCTAACATGATGGATGTTCTGTAAACGCATTCCTGAACAGCAGGCACCAAACCAACAACAGCGCCTCAGAGTTAGAGCTTTATTCAGCAACCAGCAAAGAAGGCTGGACAGGAAGGAGATTTCTCCTCGTCTTGGACTCGGCATTCATGAGACTTCACAATCCATGGGGACATCTGTTATTTCACAATGTTTTGCTATCACTCTGACTGATTGAAAGAGTCTGAACCACGCTGAGGCACAGTTTAAGGGCATATGTAATCCTTTCCATAGCTAACGTGTCCCCTAAGAGTCTGAGACAGACATCATGGGGGTGTCTTATGGGGCTGTTGTGATGTAATGTTTATCCTGTGAGATATTGGAAATCCTTGCATAGAGGGGTTGATGGGATCCAACAATAGGCACTTATTTTTCATTAGTATCCCCTCTATTCAAGGAATTCCCTGTGGAAATAAGGAGATTTTCAATACATCACAGCAATTCAGATACAATTTAATTTTGCTGTATCCTCATAAAAATGTACATACTGTAAAGTGTGCCTGGGCACTGCAACCTACTTTTATTCAGAAAACAGGACTGAAAGGTTTTAATATATACCCCAATGACGTGTACATCGATCAGGGAAACATTTTCACCCTCGGTCTCCCTTTCAACATTCAAAGGAAATGACTTTCTTTTGTCATAGAAAAAACAGCTGTCGCTACAAAACTCTAAAAATGCATGGTCTCAAAGGTGACTCATAAAAAAGAGTCGTTTTCAAAATATATATTTGAATTTCAGCACTTCAAGACAATAATTCTTTGCTTCGAGGTATTTATTCCTCATGTAAAATTCTATCTATACAAGTGCAAATTGTAAAATTGTGTGTTTACATTGCAACTGTTGTATAGATTATTCTTCCTCTTAGAAGAAATACTCCCTATTAAACTCCTCAATTGAAAAATGGAACAATGCAAAGATTGTGGGATTGAAGATAATAGCAGCGAATAGGTGATCACAATTATTTTCAGTTTAATACCATTTCAGTTTTGCCCTCCCTTGTATTTAGGTGACTTTCAGAAGTCGTTATTGTCCAATTCCCAGCGCCTTGGGTTGTCCTCCTGACGTGAAAGGCGCTATACAAATGTAATTTTGTTGTTGTTGCTGTAATGAATGTTGGAAATTGGGACTAAAATCCCTTATTGATATTGGGCCCTAGTTTGCAATACTTGCAAAAAGGATCATTGTGATTTCCGAAAGTCACTAAGAAGGCCAGAAAGTTGATAGAAGGTGATTTTGTTCTCCATTTGCCAGATTTAGAAAATTAGACTCCATTACTTTAAAAACAACCTCTGTTCTTGATGTACCTGTGCAAACTTGGGCTAAACTCACAGAAACGAGGACCAGATTAAGCAGCTTGCTGTGTTCACATCTCATATTACAGCGTGACTGATGACAAAAGAACGGACAGGAAATGTTCAACTGAGCCAGGAAGTGGGCAATCTGAGTAAAAGCAGATACAACAGAAGCCTGGTACCTGCAGCAACAGGAAACCTTGAGAGATGCAGCACTTCACTTTAAAAGGTGAAATCTCATTTACATTACTCATGGTCCCATTCTGGCTGCTTCATGCAGGTCCAGATTACAGGACGATGACAGGGAGGAAAGCTCCCTCCGGAGATAAGAGTGGAAATGGCCAAGCAAAAGCTGAGATCAAGTGTGTTGTGCTACATGCTAAATTAGTGCAGTGGTAATTCTGCAGAGAAGCTGACAAGCTGAAGTCAAAGGTCATGGATGACAACATGCCTATGTCTGCATTTTCTACCAATAGACTCCCAACAGCAGGTTCAGTCTTTGCAGTTGGTTAGATTTAGTCACAAAAGCGGTAGGCAATTTTCATCAATATCATACTGTTGCTGGATCAGAGATTGACATCATAAACTTTATGCCACACAACAACGAGCACTTATGTAGTATCTTTCACTTAGGATGAAAGCTGCAAATCGCTTCACGGAGACAATAGGAATCATCGAACATGGAAGGAGAAAAAGGAGAATTTATGGGTGGTAACCAAATGCACGGACAAAGAGATACCTTTTTAATGCCATATTCCATTAATTCCCAAACCACTATCATAAATGGGCTTAATTTTTGAAGTCATGCTTATTGGGATACAGTTTCATAAAAAATTTATTTTATCCTCATCACCTTTTCACTCTCTGGAACAGACCACATTTGTGTTGCGCAGGTGACAGCACAAAGACAAAGAAAGATTTACAGCAAATCTACCACCGGCTTCACGGGAACATAGATAATGAAGCAATTCCTATCACGTTCTCAGTTAGTTACCTTAGCGCATGTATGCAGTATATTACCCGAGGCATGTTTTTTCGATCGTAAACATCTGTTGTCTCGGGATAAAAGATCTGAAAGAAAAAGAAAAAAAGTTATTCTTCAAAACCAGACACCTATTAAGTGTTACTTGATGGTTCACTTGACCAAAGTGTCAGGCATCTTCACCAATATTACTAATATGCCTCAAAGTGATGCAAATCAAGTCAAGATTCACTCCCTCTCTCACTGATGCACTGTGACTGCAGCTCCCCATGGAGCTGGGATAGATTTGCTGTATAATAATAATCCTTGCATTTGATATAACCTTATCAATTCATTGAAATGCGTCAAATTATTTCACAGGATTTACTGTAGAGTGTAATGAATGCACATTTCTAGGTGAATGTGGCAGGCAATATGTGCCCAACGATGTCCCACAAATAACCACAAAGTAAATGACCAATTTTATTTGGAGGATTATTAGCCAGGATATCAGGAGAAATTCTCTTTTTGAATCATGCCGCGGGATCTTTTAATACCCACCTGAAGACATACAGACGGGACCTCAGTTTAATATCTCATATGAAGGATGACACCTCCAACAATGCAGCACAACCCCAGCAAGTGAAGTGTCAGCCTAGACTATATGAGTTCAGGGTCTTAGAGTGACACTTGAACCCACAACCTGTAGGACTCCTACAGCAAGTAGAGAAGGATTTTGTTCCTATCATAGATATCCAAATCCTAGGCAGCCCAAGTAACAGAACATTTTCACTGCTTTGTGCCCAGAACTGGCACCTGAGAATAAGTGATTGGCAAGTGCCTATAACATCCTTATAACTGTATTTATTCCACAGCCTCTCTTAATTGGGACAAGTGTTTTTACAGGAAACCTGATCCAAACATTTTATTGAGTAAACTGGCTTTGTGTTCATAAATACCTATCTATAACTAACATCAGTCTGTTGATAGAGGAACTTGGTTTGCAGACAGCATTTTGGCCTTTATACTCCCAAGGCCAAGTGGTTCAACTAATGGGAGAGGTGAGAGGTGAATCCATGAATAGTCCTGGCCATAGGCCACCTAAGCGTGGCAACTGGCCAAATGGCAGCATGACTCAAGATCAAGGACACTTTTTAAAATGCTGAACTCCTGTGGAACACCAACTTTTATGACAATTATAGGGGAAGAAGTTTTAGAAAATTCCACTGTGGCACTGATCAATTTCTCAAAGCACAGCAAGGTGACAGGGCATTACATTCAAAAGATCGATCTTAGATGTTTCCATGTGAATGGCCTTGGCTCTTGCCAATCTGCACCTAATACTTTCCGGAATTAGGTAAGCTGGATGCGTCCCTCCAGGGAGAGAATGCCCATTCTATTTCAATAATCTATCTTTGATTTCCATGGGTAGGTGGGATGCATGGAAATCTCAGCTTGGTTTGGATATTCTTAAGCATGGTGATGAATTTTCGCACGTGTCAGACAAAAAAAAGGCATTCAAATTCAAGTGAACCCCATCCCCCAGCGGATTGAATTCAAGATCCTCACATTTAAATCTCTCTATGGTCTCACCCCTCCCTACCTCTGCCACCTCCTTTACCCATACTAACCCAGCCATTCTCTTCACTCTGCCAACACTGGCCTACTCCACGTCTCCCTCACTATCAGATGTGCTTATAGCCACTTAGCACCTGCTCCTCTGGAACTTCATTCACAGATGCAAATTCAAACTTGCTTCTTGCCTCCCCTCTTTCAAGGTACACCTCAAAACATATTGTTTGGAACATGCTTTTGATCAATTTTCCCCTCTTCACAACACTCCCCACCTCAACTCTCACAGTCAGTTCATCCATTCCAGTACCCAGCCAGAACAGTCAAGTGCTTTGGAACATCCTCCTAATGGGAAAGGGAGTGTATAAATGTAAACTATTGTATCAAAACAAATCATCTGATCAGAACCATAGAATTGGACAGTATGAGATTAATAAGCAGCTACAGTTCTACAGGCACCGAGAGTCTTTCAGTAACTCAGCGTTGTGTCCGTTCTACACGAGTTCACCTTGATAGTGTCAGCGGGATATTCAACTGTGGTGTCTTTGCCATCCCTGATCCAATCTCACCCACGGTCCACTCTGAGAACATGGGCTCTAACTGTGGAGCTGTCAACATGCTTTACCCAAGATCAGTTAACATATATGTAGGACCACAAATTGAACCTGGGAAAGACCCTCCGTGGTCAGTACTGATGGCACCAGCTTTTCCCACTGATCTACAAGGGGAGCCTGAAATAACTCTTATTTCTCAACATAGATCACTGAGAGGCAGAGGAAACTCATGGATGTAGGGAAGGGAATGTCATGCTCTTCTGAAATTTGGGTCAAGACATTTTCTGTTAAACCAACATAATGGAAAGACTACTCCTAACCCATAGCTCTATGTGGAGCTAAGTGGATAAATCAATCCAAGTCTTCTTACATTTTAACAACCTTCACTGCATTTTAGACAAAACATTTTTTTTAGAAAATATTAAATTTTCTACCAAAAATTGCACTCCATAGGGACACTAGACAAACATTGTAATAACACTGTAATAACACGCAAGGCACACACCCAAGTCTGTTTCTCTTTGGGGAGGGGGGAAAGAGATGAAAATAAATACCTTATAGTTTTCACGATCCATTTGATTTCACTATATTTGCATTCGGACATTTTGCGCAAAATGAAATTCAATATGAAAAATAAAAAATTAAAAACTTAGCCTCGACAAAGAGATAAGCAAGCTGAACCCTCAGCTTGAAAATATAGTACCACAAACCAAGAGTTAGCTACATCTGCAAAACAAAAAGCCCAGTCACCTACACAATACACAGTCACTCCACTTTACTATGAATCCTGGAAAGCACTTCGAGATGTTCTCCTAACATGAACGATGCTATATCAAATGCAAGGATTATTTTGCCCATAAAATACAAAGTGAATTGACTTTGTACTACATCCTGTGAAGTGCTTTGAGATGTCTCGATGATGTAATACGGCGCTGTACCAAATGCAAGTATTATTATTATATATATATAGATGTGCTTGCAGTAATTGCAAATACTGCAACATTCCCAAAACAGCACCAATAAAAAATATTTGTTTTAAAACTGAGGGCAGCATATCCAATGTGTTAGATATCTAAGAACTGTCTCAGTAAATGGTATTTGAATCAGCATTCTCCTATTACAACCACTTTTTAAGGAAGGAGAAAAGAGCATTTAAAAACATCTGGACGATTAGACAGTATGGACATGGGATGCAAAACAAATGTCCCCCAGGACTCCAACCAGGAAATGCGGGAAGCAACTGTGAGACACTGACATGTTGTGCAGCAAGTGGTATCAATGCTACAGCGAGAGAAGCCAGACTTAAATGGGTAGAAGCAATCCATATTTAATGCAAAGTCCCTTTTAGCAGCAAGATGGTAAAAGGGGGATTTAAATTACTGGAACATCTCATCATCCACCCCCTCCCCTGTCTCTCCTCCTGACAGACCTTTGCTGGGATATAGTTCCAATGGGGCTCAATTAGCCATTTTCCATGTGTGAATCTAGACAACATGTGGACTATTACAGTCAAGCCTGATCCTGTCCTCAGCAGCAGGTCACTGACTAGCGATCAGTGGTTGATATTTCCCCTCCCTGGGGTGAGGAGAACAATTGTAAATCTCATCCAACATTAACCAGATCTGCAGGGTCTGGGAATCTAACTGGAACATTCACGTTAGTCATAAGTGTCACTAACATAACATCTCTCCTTCCTACCCCTAATTTTAAATGCTTGGTTTCTTATTTATAACAAAGTCAACAGGATGTTTTCTCATGCACATGACTAACAGGAAATGTTTAGACAATACCTCACATTGTTATACCCGAACACATTACATGACGTAGGATACAAACTGGGAAAGCCTCTAGCATTAAATAGGACCAATACAGAGCATAGTAAATGTTTCCAAACATGCCCCAAACCAAAAACGACGTATCGTGTATCATTCAAAAGAGAAGGCATGTTCTCCCAGGTTCTTGCCAAAGGTCCTCGAGATAAAACTGATCATTCACCTTACGGCTGTTTGTAGGACAATCCTGTGTGCAAATTTCCTGCCTTGAGATGTTGATAATAGGTGTTATATCAAATGTAAGGATTCTTATTATATTGCATGAAAATACAAACATCCACACTCTCCATCCCCTCCATGGCTCCAAGATAATCACAATTACAAAAGCACACAATATTAACTGTGGTCGATTGGATAGAGACCATTCTGGTTTTATAGCATCAAGCTACACACCGGAAGGCACAGGTTTAAATTCTTTACTGAGTTAGCTGGCACAGGCACGATGGGCCAAATGGCCTCCTTCTGTGCTGTAATATTCTATGTCAGTGGGGTTAGCAGTTAGGATACGAGATTTGGCCCGAGTGCCATTGGGATAGGGATGAGGGTAAAAAAATCAACCAGGTCCACCAATAGCTATTCAGAGATTCCTGCTGGGAGGTGCATAAATGGATATGCTCAAATTTCCATCTGATTTTAGTCTGCAAGATCACTTTGTCTAACAATTAAGATTGTGAAAAATTGTGACAAATTCTGAAATTCAATATTAATTTGGAAACTGGTTCTTGACAAAAACTTCTTAGAAGCAGAAACAGGATTTCAAATTAAACCTAAATTAAAATTTTTTCCACAATTCTGAGTGAACTTAAATTTTAAGACAAAATGGAATTGTAGGCTAAAACGAGGTGCAATTTTAGGCCTCAGATGAAGACAGGACAGGGTTTGGCTGTGATGCCCCCACTGTATTCAAATAGTCTATCAATATCTACATCCAAAGGCCCCTATGAATAATAACCCTAAGAGGAGTTAGCAGCATTCATGGAAATGTACCCCAGATGAAAGAAAAACAGGTCAAATTACTTCAGGAGAAGAGGAGGATAAATTGGATGATGAATAAAGGAAAGTGACTGATCTGGCTATAGAATGGAAAGTGCTGCAGTGGTTCAAGCAAGCACATACCTCAAGAGAATCGGCTGCATTAGCACATTTTCTTTAATGCAATGAAAACACTCCCACTTAACTAAAGTTTGAATGTTGTTGATAGTGATAACAGATGAGAAATGCTGACTGCATACCTACCCTAAGGCATATTGTCCATACCAACTGGATGGGGGGGGCGGGGGAGAGAGGGAAACAAGATTTAATGAACGAAGTGTGGAACACTGTGTTGAGGTTTTATAGCTGCCAGAAAAGCCTGCTCCAAAAACCTATGCTAAAGTGGCACCAGAGAAAGTCTCACAGAGCAGCTGGAATGCTCACTGAAGTACATTCTTTTATCATCCTTTGTTTTTATATATTATACATTTTTTAAGCGAATTTATCGGAAAAGGCAAAATACACATCTTGTATAATGTCAAGCTACCAGAGTCTAAAATACAGAGATTTCAATTGGGATTCCTTAATCCAGCAATTCCATCTGAAATCTCTGTGCTTCAGACACCAGGGTGGACTCCTCTGCACAGAACTGATGGAAAATGGCTTTGTAGAGGAGAATATTTCAATCACATAACGGTGGCGTTGAAGCTTCTAGATAACAAACCTTGCCTTTTTCAATTCTTCCAAACTAATGTTATAGTTTTAGTGCTCTAACAGTGCTCTGGCAAAGAGTACAAAACCAGTCTCCAAGGACCAGACTCATACAGGACTGGATTTACACGGCATGGATGCTGAGCAGCTTTCAAAAATTCTTAGAATAATGAAAAGCCCAGCATCAAATAGGTTATTTGATCTTAGCTGGTCTACAAAGGAAGGTTTTGCTACTTAAATCTATTAAAAGCTGAAGAAATTTCTCAGGAACATCCTGGGTACTACAGAAGTACTTTGTGAAACAACAAGAACTTGGCTCTGTTAATTAAAAACAAGCATGCCCCCCATGTGCAAGGGACCAATAAACCACACTAGAATATCACAGAGGGGTAGCAGCGGAAGCATCGCAAGCTCTCTTTCCAACACAAACATTATTAAAGTGTTTTTGTTTGTATTTCTGTTCTGTTCACAATAACGTAACAGTAAAGAATGTACATTTTCCAGCAACTTATCAGTTTACATTGATACAGCAGTATGGTGCTAGTGAAGAGCTGTATTGTCAGAGATCCCATTTGGATGAGGCAATAAGTTGAGGCATTGTCTGGGGGATTCAGGAGGATATTAAAGATCCCATGACACTATTCAAAAAGAGCAACTTCTTCCCATGTTTTAGCCAACAATCTTGGAGAAACCCTCCAAACCATCCACATTACATTTGTATAGTGCCCTTCATGTCGGGAGGACGTCCCAGGGCACTGGTCGCTGGTCAGAGATTTGGACCCAAGCAGGGGGTTGGGATCAGGAGGGGTGGAGGGCAGGGGTAGGAGGGTTGCCAAAGGCACGGTCAAAGCATTGAACAACCAATTTATCCAGAGCAGGGTATTAAATTAATCTGGTCGCAAAGGCTATTTATGTTAACACTGTTCACTTGGCTCGCGCCAGCGCCTCAACACCTCAGGCTCTGGCAGCATCAACCTCCATGGTTGCACACTACAACTCACCAAGCCAGTCACGAACCTAGGTGTCCTGTTCGACCCTCAACTGTCTTTTCTCCCCCACATTCAAGCCATGACCTGCTGTGCCTTCCCTCACCTCCATAACATCGCCCGACCGCCACTACCTCACCTCTCAGGCCTCTGAAACTCTTGTTTCATCACCTCCAGACTCGACTATGCAAATGCCTGCTTGTCAACCTTCCCAACTCCTCCCTCCACAGGCTGCAGATAATCCAGAACTCTGTAGCCTGTGACCTTTCCCGCACCAAACTCCATGACCCCATCTCCCCCACTCTCGACCAACTCCATTGGCTCCCTATCCTTCAGAGGATCCAGTTCAAGATCCTGGTCCTCACATACAAAGCCCTCCATGGCCCCACCCCACCCTACCTCTGTGACCTCCTAACCCCCTACCAATCCGCCCGTTCCCTCCGCTCAGCCGGCTCTGGCCTGCTACATGTCCGCTAACCCACCCCATCATTGGCGAGGGAGCCTTCGGCCACTCTGCCCCCAACCTCTGGAATTCCATCCCCCAGTCACTCCACCTCGCCCCCTCCTTAGCCTCCTTCAAGTCCCGCTTCAAAACCCTCCTCTTTGACCATGCCATCGGCCACCCCCCTCCCCTCCCCTCCCTTACCTCGCCAACCCCAGCTCGGGACTGAAATGTTATACTCTGTCCAGTGCCTTGGGACGTCCTCCCAACATGAAAGGCGCTATACAAATGTAATCTTGTTGTTGGTGAACTGCACCATAAAAATAGTTATATATCATGCCACACCTAAAAATGTCTATAGGGAATGTGTGTATATTTCTTAAATATACCAATTTGCACAAAACATCACCCCAACTACATCAAGTTCGTAGTCATCGAAAAAAGTACACAGTGTAATGCTAAGTCTCAATATATAATGCTAAGTCTCAATATTTAACTTAAATCCCCAAATATAAAATTTTTAACGTCATTGAAACAAAAAATACCATCAGGCTATGAAAATGCCATTTAGTACCACTCTGAATTTTACCTTCTCTATATTATTCAATGCTAGTTGTGTGCCATTACATTTTACATGAGCAAACACATTTTGCGTGCCATCTGATTAGCTATTTGTACTAACTCTATGAGCTGTTGGCTTAATGGGAATGTCACTCATGCAATTCAGAATGCAGGGTTGAATATACGTCTTATATTAAAAAGACTTTTCAGAAAATTTCTAGTACAATACAGTTACGTGATTTCTCGTACAATACAATGTGATTTCAGAATCTAATGGGGACGCTGACAAATATTACCCCATGGGCTGCCAAAAGCCAATGGGTTGTATGTTTGACACCACTGATCTAGAGAATTGTTGGTTAGGACATAGGGGAAAAACATTCTCCTTTCAAATAGGATCATGGAATTCTTAAAGTTCGCCCAAACAACAGGCAGAGAGGACCTTGGTTAATGTCTCATCTGATTTATAACATGTAAAGTGCTTCGAGACGTTTATTTTATGTGAAAGGCGTTATATAAACGATGACATTATTATTAGTGCACTGACATCCTAGATAATGAACTCAATACAATGTAACACAATGAGGAGATTAAATGAATTACTCTACTACAGCCATAATATAGAGAGGAACAATGCCATAGAGATTTGCAAGGTGGGTGAGAAAGAACAAGTGTTTTTTCTTTTACTTTCAGCTTTTTATTGAATACATATTTAGTTTTTTGGCTGGTATTGGATCGAAGGATTTGTAGAGAACCAAGCAAGATAGATACTTCTGCTCAGCTCGCAGTAGCAGTAAAGATTCTGACTTTTAGTTAGAAGTCGCAAAGTGGGATTGGTGGATCACCGCGTTTGAAGCTGGACTTTACTCCACTGTATACGGATTCATGTAACATCTTTCATTGTTCTTTGACCTCAATAGTCGCCACATAAATAATGGTTCTGGAGGCATGAACATCAGACGATTTCGCCCCCATTCTTTTCCCTTGGTTCTGTTCAATTATTTTGGTAGTACTACGGTTACATCCCTCTGTGCTCCGGCACTGTCAAGCTCTCTGGGACGCTATCCTAAGAGTTAGGATAACTTTAGACAGATATCTCCTCCTTCTCCAATACAAGATGCTCTCTGCCTTCAAGGATGAAAAAGCTATCTTTATTTGATTCCCCAACCTCCCAAACAAAACATGTTGTGAACATTTTACTTCTTGATTTTTAGAGCAGAGTTTGTGAATGTGCAGGTAATGCACTGTAAAGTGCTTACCTTAGGCAAGCCAACCGACTCCATGGCTCGGAGCCACTTCACTGTATTGTCCGTGTGTCGAAAGTGAAGTCCGGAGCGCTGGGAATGACAAAGTAAATCAAGTTAAACATGAGGCTTCAATTTTCATTCAAGCAAATACAAACATTGCATTATTAAAACAAACAGTGATTTAGACATCGACTTTTCATCTTTGGGGGTCAGGTTCAAATCCTGCCAAAAAATTCCTCCATCTCATGGCTATAAGGGTTCTCAAGGAAATGGGTTTTGGTGGCTGACCCAAGGTCCCAGGGAAAAATTGCTCATTCCATTGGTAAGCTCACTCTGAGCACACAATTCCTGGCTGATGTGGGAAATGGAAAATCTTACACAATGAAAATGGGGAAAATGTGGCTTTGTAGAGTAGGTAAGAACATAAGAAATGGTAGACGAAGAAAGACCAAGGTCCACCTAGTTCGCCTTCCACCTTCCTGGCGGTCACATGCACAAATATCCCGAACTACCTATGTACTATATCCCACAATGTTATTTCCTTAGCCCTTTACTCTGTATCTAACTATACGAACACCCAACTTGATCCCTGCCTCTATTCTGGATTCCAGGACCACTACTGACCGGTTGCCTGTAAGAAATCAAGTTCTGGATGAGTTCTACCTTTTTACAGCTCAATGTTGACAAGACTGAGTCTCTTTTCTTTGGCGCCTCCTCACCTCAGGTGCTGATTGCCTTGAACCACGCAATATTGACACCTCCTCATGAAGTCAGTGGGGAACTTCAGTGTTTTGTTCCGACTCCCAACATCAAGCCTTGCACCCACTCTGGTGAACATCACCTCTGCCACTATCTCATCCACAAGCAGCCGAGACCCTCATCCAGGCCTTCATAACATCCAGGTTCAACTACTCTTAGGTGCTAGGTTCACCAGACTCCCCAGCCCCTTTCTACACAAGATGCAGACCATCCAGAACTTTGCACCCTTGTTCTGCAAGCCCATCATTCATATCCTTGCTCGGCTGCACTGACTACCCGTTCAAGATTCTCATCCTCACTTTGAAATATCTCCACCCTGCCACATACTCTGCTCAGCAATCACCAGCCTGTTTTATGACCTCAGTTTGCTGTGCCCCATCACCATTGGGCAAGCCCTCAGTCATTTGTCCTTCGTTCTCAAACTCCATCCTAGAATTTCTCTGCTTTCAAAACTTGCCTTAAAACTTTTCCTCTGCCATGCTTTCAACAACTATCCCCAGCCACCTCCCTTCCTTCCCTATTTGGGGTCGCAGTCTTCAGTTGTGTGAAGCTCTATGAGACGTCCTCCCAGTGTGAAAGACGCGAGATAATTGTTGCCGTGTTGCAGTACTTTACTGTGGAATGTTTGATGCTGATATTGCGATCCCAAACTAGGAAACTGTTCCATTTCTCAGCACTACCATTCCTCACCTCATTAAGCACAAAAACCATCAATAAAGTTTGAATGTAAATCTATAAAAACTTTGTCAGTAATTGTTCACATATGCACTAAAGTTTGGAAATATAGATTGTAGTTACAGTGACCTAACCAGGGCTCTGCACCTCTTTCCAAAGTCAGCAACAGCAAACTCAATATACCAGAAATAATAATAATCCTTGCATTTTATATAGTTCCTTTTCATGTCTTCTAGAGGTCTCAAAGCACTTCACAGAATATACTGCAAAGTGAATTGACTGTATATTTTTTGGGCAAAACATACAAGGCTTGCCCCCACAAACACAGAGACTCAGATAATACACAATACCACCTTTAATATAAACTATAAGATCCATTTCACTTTCAGCCGCTGTTTATTAATATGTATATTCCCTCTTGCCCACCCACACAAAAGGATTTGGGATGATGACTAGGCTTATAAAGTTATCGATTTAAGTGTCAAAAACAGGTCCAAATTTGTTTGAATTAATTTCCATTGAGGTTTGTTCTGCTGCAGGCAGTTTACAATGAGGTCATTTTCTCGTAAGTGCAAGGTTTTGTAACTCTGCTATGATGCTTGCTGTTGCAAATATTGATGTGGTCATTTCCTGAGGTCCAGCTGTTGACATATTGGAGTTAGTTCTTAAGGACTTTGAATTGATAATATCAATTGTAAAAAAAAAGCCAGTTGCACACTGATAATTATTCCTCCTCTTCTCTCACAGGGAGCTGAAGCCAAGTGATGAACTACCACATTTCTATGTCCAGCGTCATAGTCACTGAAAAGAGACCAGTCACGATCGAAGCACCAAAACCGTGATACAATCAAAGATACTGTTGTGGTCTCACATAACAAGACAGTGATGATACTGAGAATACCATGTGATGAGTTTTCCGTGTGTGTGTCGGAGTGGAAAGAATACTCAAAAATAAAGCCATTAGAGAGAGTTCAGAGTAAAGATTGCTTGAACACAAAAACCTACAGTAGCTAGAACCACAATTAAGTCGCACAAGCAGATGACTAGAATTTAGCAAGACACATCTGAAATCCAACACTAGAATGTTTGGGATTGTCACAGTACGGGTAAACGTGACAGGTTAAATGTACACAACAACAAACAACAACAAATTACATTTGTATGGCGCCTTTCAGGTCGGGAAGAAGTCAATTTCTTTGGGATGTTGAGGAATCCTTCACAGGTATTGATAATAATCCTTGCATCTGATATAGCGCCTTATCACATCTTCGAGACGTCTCAAAGCGCTTCACAGAATGTACTGTAAAATGAATGGATTGTCCATTTTGTGGGTGAACTACGGCAGCCAATTGCGCACAGGACGTCCCACAAACAGTCATGGATTGAGTGACCAAATTATTATTATTATCATCATTATTTTTTATGAAGGAAAATGGTGAGTTAAGGCATGGACCTTCACAGTACATGTTTAATAGGCGTATAAATGTAACACGGTTCCCATAATCCTTGAAGCCTGTATACTGATGACTGCATGTTTCTGCTCATCTTCAAGGCACAAGGCCTCCGAGCTTAATTTTATTGAACAGTGGAAAATGACTCCAAATTGAAATGAATAACTTCCATTGGCATATGGTATGTACATTGGGAGAGGCGAGATGGATGGACATTGCTGGATTGTCCTGGATATCATCATGTAGCAATCAGTAAGTACTGGATACAGGCAACCGCACCAGTGATCTTTAAAAAGGCTAATGCGGTTATAATGGCCTGATAAGCCTTTATGCCCTGAGGGGCATGTATTGTAGCAAACTGAAAGATTACACGTATGGCTAAAAATAAGAAACAGGCAGCAAAAATTTAAAAAGGTTTTTTTCACAAGATAACAGCTGACAAACCACCTTGACTTGACATTACAGATCAGGTAGATATTGGCACGCCCAAGGATATAATTTATTTGAACTTAAATGTAATTTAATTCTGTACAAAAGACGTAAATAAGCTAAAAGCCACAGGAATTACGGATAGAAAATGGGATTCAATAAAACAAAGGCTAAAAATACACAAGAAGAATGTAAGGTAAGACTGAAGGGGAAGTGAGTCCAAACACAGAAATGTCACTGCTTGAATACGTCCCACCTCAATGTGTCATTTTTCCCCCATGAACAACCAGGTTTCCAACATTCACCATAAAGTTGCACCATTTGCTGATGATGGAAGTGGAAGTGGAATGAAGTAAGAGTGGAATGGAGGGAAGAGGCATAACACACAGGAGGCATCAAGAACATGCACTTAATTTGTTTATCTGTTTTAGATCTTCCGATACTATTCTCAGGTAGATACTTTGAGTTCTCTTTTGAAGGAATGTATTAATACAACTTCACTACTCAAAGAAATTCATCCATTCTCTAGTCTTGCTCAAGTCTTTCTACTTTTGAACCTACATCATTTAGTTCTTTCTCAAAGTCAACAATAACAACAACTTTTGTTTATATAATGCCCTTCACAGAGGGCCCTTTTAAAATGTGTCTGGTCATAGCTTCAGCAAATATAAGTAGGCAAACTTATTAAAACAAAACTGACAAGCCTTTTCACTTCATGTGATAACACCTTAATACAATCAGAAAGGATTTATCATAGGTTGGCATCACCAAATTGTCTTAGTGAAGTTCTGCCAAGAAATCTGTTCATAATAAGACTGTGGTATCCCTGGAAAAGTGTCCTGAGCCTGGAAGCTGCGATTAGCTACTGAGGCAGCAGTAAGCAGAGTGAAACGATGGCTGGTGTGATCAGCCTTCACTGTCCCATGATCTGTTATGGCCAGACAGCTTATTAGCTTGCAACTTATCTGATGCTACAGCAACTTTGCACACGTGGTGCTGGAGGCAAGGAAAACAAATTGCCACAATGATTTGCCCTGGGGGAAACCAGATTGTGGGATTATTCAGTGGCTAAGGGAAACTTTTAAAAAACAGACACGTGCTTTAGTAGTTTCAAATTTAATGAGTATTTTCATTTTTTATACTTGGAAACTTGGACGCTCCGCTAGAAGCACCAGATGGCCCTTAGCCTGTTGAATTGTTTCATTAACCATCCGGGCAGCTATGTGAGGCTAATAAAGGAACACAAAATTGTGAGGCAGGTTCCCAGGAGAGCTCCTGTACACTAGAACAACTAGTGATGAGAAGGGTTTGGCAACCGGAGCACATTAAACGCTTGTGCTGACAAAGGGCAGAGGTGAAATCTCCATTAGTAAAGATATAAAGCAACCGCCTGAAAGGGAATCCATTCTCAATGAATTTACATTCCACTTATCCTTGCTCCAAATAAAGGCTTGTTTATGCAGAGTGAGAAAGTTCTCACCAGAAGATGGAAAACTACTGCCTGTTAGAACACTAAACTCCAGTATCCACATTTTGGTGGGATAAGGATTTGATTTCTCTGCATTATATGAGTTCAAAAACTGAGCTATGCTGCTACAATTGACACTAGTTGAAGGCCAAGCACCTATCCACAGAGAAAAAAAGGAAATTTGGTGAGTCATGACAGGCTTTTACTATGTGTATCTCAGCAACTGACTCAGAACAACCTTTGAAGGAGTGTCTAGAATAAGATTGGCTTCCTACTTCCTCAACTGGATGACATGCATAGTTAGAATA